AGAACCTCTACACACCCATGTTGAATTAGTCTTTCAGTGTGTGGATTCTCTGTCTGTTCTTTTGCACTGTCCATTTGATCCCATAGAGCAGCAGTGGAACTCAACCTACCGGTCGCTACCAATTTTTGTGTTTAACGCCCTTTCACAGGTGTTGCCTAAGACCATTGGAAAAGACATATTCATTGAACTTATGAAGGAAAATAATTGTTTGGGGGTCCCCACAACAGGAGGGAACTATATTAGCTGCTGCCGCTCCTCTTTCCGCTCCTCTGGGCGGGGAGCTACTATATGAGTGCCTTAACCAGGCTTATTCAACTAAGTTCACTCAGGGGGCCAAATTTTTTAAGATTGTCAAGCCACAGCATAGAAAGATCATTTCTACAACATAACTGCAGTGATCTGCTGGCCACTTCTATGCTTCTGCATGCCAGATTTTGCCAGCGTGTTGCCAGTTTAATAGCCCTGGCTTAAACTGTATTGCCAGGTTGATTATTACTTTTAGCAATATAAGTTGTTTATACTTGTAGTGCTGTTTTATTATTTGTTTGTTATTATCTGTCCACATTCTTTTACAAACCTGAATTCCTCTCTGCTTGTTGAACAAAAGTCTATTATCCAACATAGAATTACTATGGGGTCTCCATGCTGAAGTGGACCAGCTGTTTGCCTTGGGGCTTTGAAGATATGAGTTTATTTACACTTTGTTTGGTTCATGAAGGCAACCCTAGGGATCTTCACTAGAGCTGCAGTTTTTTTGCTTTGGTCAGTGCTCTCAGCAGGCGGCTCGCCATTCTGCAAGAGATAGACTGTCATATGGAATACAATCTGATTCAATGATGTTGATCCTCTTAACAAAAAAAAAAAAAAAAAAGTTGTCTGTCATTTGTCATGTATCCGGGAAGGCTAACCCGGTCAACAAATGCGCGCAGAAGTCGGATGTGTTGGCCGAAAGGGGCAAATATCGCAGCCATGCCGTAAACGGACACAACGCAATTACATCTTCGGATGAACGCAGAAGAAGAAGAAGAAGATTTGTCATGAATAGTTATGTTAAAAGATTGATCCGTCTTTGTGCATAGATTGTCATGGGCCAACATTTCTCATTACATTCATGATTGGAGCAGACACAAAGTCTTCAATGTGAGCTGTGTTTAACTTGTTAGAACTAGAGTAACTTGTTTCTGTAATGTTTTTGGTGACTAAATTGGGTTACAGTGCAGGTTTCAGTGTAGGGGAGACAACTTGTACCACTTGGCTAATGTAACAAAATAGTCATAATCTATATGGCCAGACCTGAAATTTTAAAAATGCACTATTTGTGTTGGGGAAATTCTGCCTTGAAATAACAAATAAATAACCTCTCATATTGTAAATGTTGTTATTGTGTGCTTGTATGTGTGTGTACATGCTCTAGTTCTAAAACACATTAATTATGTGTGCTTTTTGCCAGCACCAGGAACAGACCAAGTATAGGATGTCCTGTTTTTACCTGACTTTTCAAATGTCCTTCATTCTTGTTTCCATGTTTTTGGTGTAAGTAAAAGACTTCTTCTCATACTATGAGGTGTATGGGACATATAATATGAGCCCAGTATTTTTGACTGACTGATTGGTCCTCAATGGGCTCAGTATCCTGTTAGCCACCTTTACTTACCAAGAAACTTCATGGTACCCCATTTTAACTGGGTTTACCTTGAAGTCATTGAAGAAAGTATACCTATCCCAGGATTTGTTAACCCTGGCAATAAATGCCTGCAAATATCGCAGCAATATTGTAAATGGGGACAACGCAAGAAGAATCCCCTGTCTCAAAGCCACTAATGGGACTAAAATCAGGTCACTGCAAGCTCAACTACCAGATGCATATAATAAAGACCGTCCCGTCTTTACAGTGTGCATGCATGTTAGATATGACCACAAACACCTGAGCACATTCTGCAGGCCTGCCCACTCACTCTACCTACAGCTTTGAAAAGTCAGGACCCAAACCCAAATCTCCAATCCCCATGCGAGCATTTAGCCGCTTCACTATGATGGCTCTCTTTTTTTATCCCGTATTGTTAATATTTTATTTAACCCCTTTAGACTCGAACACTCTTTACTGTAAGCAACAACTATTGAGGAACTGAGGAGTAACGGGGTGGGGGGGGGGGGGCTCTAACAGAGTGACCTGGCTACAGACACCTACACGCCACCCCCCCCCCCTTTTTTTTTTTTTTTTCACCAATACGTGTGTTTTCAACTGATTCCATGAACATGAAGATGGTTCAAATACAATGAGTTGAGTCTCTGTGGAAATATCATCTGATAGAAATAAGTTTCATTTTTGTGCTAGGAGGTAAGTGGAAAGGAACGAACGGCCTGGCTAATGTTCTTAGGGAGGCAGAGCGAGTTTATGATGCAAAAGACGACGGTGAATTTCCAACCTTGACAAGACTACAAGAACTTTATGTAAAAGTGGTGTCGCCAGACATGAACGCTATACAGGCAGCCAAAGAAGAATAGTAAAACCAACACAGAACTGGTGTTGTCAGTTTCCACACAATGAGGCAGATACTAAAGATGGGCTCCGAGCCCCTATGGACTAGTTCGAGGTTCGGTCGATTAACCAACCAACTGATATGAGTAAAGTCTGGTGAATCACGTCTATAACGTCTTTGAGAACAAGATAAGACATCACAACAAGCAATTTCGTTTGGGACCTGTCAATAATGGTACATTATGGTTGCTGCATCTGAAGACTGATTTAAGAATCTACATCATAGCACACCGAGCATACCTATAGATGCTCTTTCTCTCGCAGCAAATGACCTAAGTTGTAGATTTCAAATGTTCCCGTAGCACACTGATTATAAACACGCCGATCTCTTCCTCTCATCCGTCCCTCCTTGCCGGATCCACACTGAATTCTTCGTTCACACACTCTTGTCCATGTTTGTTCATCTAATCTCGTGTCTTCTGCCAAAATTTGTTTTTGTATGGTCTTCATAATATCTCCCTTGTGCAATACGAGTGTTCCCACAGCTTACGCCTTTTAAACCAGAAAATCCGCTCTTTTATTCCCTCGCACTCCTGCATTTCCAGGACAGTATATCCACGTGATTCACTGCAATGTTGGTGTACTGGTGCATGGCATCCACTTATGACACATTAGTCCATTAGAACCTTTGTAACCTCTGGTAACTTTGTTATCTGCTATCCACTTCAGAGCTGCAGTGATTGCCTCCACTTCCATCCTCACGCTTGAAGTTGTAGATAAAAAAAGCTCCGTTTTGTGTTAACTAACGCATAGGAATGCATAAAGCGCAGTAACATTCGTCGTCACTGTCATCACTTTTCCCGTTAACGGAGTCGGCGAAAAAGGAAAGGGGGGGGGGGGGGAGAGAGAGAGAGAGAGAGAGAATTCGCGACCCAGTGTTCGATGAGTGACAAGGGCCGTTGGACATCAGATTGAAGAAGTTTCGAAAACTTGTCTGGCAACACTGTGTAAAATTAACTCTCTGTCGAAGTGGTCGGGCGTTTACCTGGCCCTGTGAGTTTATTGCATCGAGTTTTATCCCACATGGCTCGGTCTCTCTCTCTCTCTCTCTCTCTCTCTCTCTCTCCCGTCCTCTCTCTCTCTCTCTCTCTCTCTCTCTCTCTCTCTCTCTCTCTCTTTCTCTCTCTGCAGAGCGGCTAACCGCCTACCGACAGCGTTGCACAGAGCACGAACTCCCCAGAAATCTCCGAACAAATTGCACTCGTGAACTGACTGGCACAGGCGTGAAACGAACCCACGACTTTCAGAACGTGTAGCAAACGGCTTAACCACTTCGCAACGAAGACCCCCATACCTAAATATACCGGAATACTGCACAATACGCCAGAGAATAAGTTATGAAGTTTGTTGTTTGTGACATCTTTATTTAAATGTTCAACGGGAAAATATTCTTACAGATACAAAAATGCTGAGCAAATAATAAGTACTCATTTACATGATCACTTGGAATAATTCAGAATGACTGCACTGACCTAACTTCGCCCCAAAATATGGGACGCAATTTTTGGTTATTTTAAAGCCCCGCCTGTTGTCGGGGGCCCCAAATATAATTTAACGATTAAACGGGGTTTCTGGCCGGGTGAATCTGATCGGATTGGTTGCAATCTATGTAGCCGGGTGTTTATCCCTGGCTGTGTCGTCCTGGTGGGGTTGTACGGTCCTAGTGGGGTTGTAAGATCCTGGTGGGGTTGTACAGTCCTGGTGGGGTTGTACGGTCTTGGTGGGGTTGTAGGGTCCTGGTGGGGTTGTACAGTCCTGCAAGCAGATATATACACGATGATGATGATGATGGAGAGATATAGGTCAGCGTCGTCATCATGTAGCAGGTCAGTTGTATAATATCACCCTCATAACTGTCTGCCTGACAGAAACTTGGTCTTTTTTCTGGTAAGTCACCACATCACGCGATATTTAGGAAAATCACATAGTATGGGGGGGGGGAGGGTTTACGCTAGTGTTAAACGAATAGCGACTACTACTTAACCTAACCCCCCCCCCCTTTCCTCACCCCATACTATGTTATGTCCCCTAAATCTTTCATGCTGTGGTGACTTAACAGAAAAGAACCGAAAGTTGGTCTCTCGCCAGCTCCCCGCCTCGTGCAATTTTATAACTATGGAGTCAGTTATATTCTGTGCCCATCTTCTTGTTGACAGGCCCCTGCCCCTATTTCCTGGTACCATGTCTTCTGCTATTAATTTCTTTTCTCCAGTCCATGGAATCGTTTCATGGACTGCGTTGCTACGTTCACAAATTTAATTTTTATGGAGATCCCTGGGGATCGTAGTTGTAGCTACAGTGTAGTGCTTAGTGCGACCCGGCTAGCTGTGCTGTGGAGACAAGGGCCATATGGAACACAACCAGGTGCAATGAAGTTAACCCTCTGGACGTTACATTATAAGGAGAGGTATGAGACAGTTGCAGCAGTCAGTGATCTCCTAGTATCTTCAGCTGTAGCAAGATGGACGACAGCGATTCAGATGGTCCTAACGAACAGGCTTTCGCAATTGACGACTGCAACAACAATGACATTGATCTCAGTGTTCCACCAACATCGGGCACTGAGTACCTTCGCCGTGTGCGGTATGATATGATGGAGAAATAAAAATACTTTTTTCATAAAAGAAAATTTATAATCACTGCTAATTCAGTAAAAGTTTGGCGGCTCTCCTAGCAGATTTGGACGCAAGCGGGACGGCTTCGGTCGCTTTAGTGGGAGTTCTCTCCCTTGGCCGCACTCAAAACAAGTAGCGGAAAAAGTCACGAATCAAATGACATACTTACCTATCATCATCCGGGTGCGTGTAGGGTTGTGTACGGTTGCGTCTAGGGTAACCTATCATCATACGGTTGCGTGTAGGGCTGCGTAGGGTGTCTATCATCATCCTACGGTTGCGTGTAGGGCTGCGTAGGGTGTCTATCATCATCCTACGGTTGCGTGTAGGGCTGCGTAGGGTGTCTATCATCATCCTACGTTTGCGTGTAGGGCTGCGTATTGCGTGTAGGGTTGCGTAGGGTTAGGGGTAGGGTTAGATGTGAAAATTTGGTCGAAATAGTGGCCGACAATCTGATGCTTGTGGGAGTGGCGCCACTGAAATTCTGCCAAATTTGACGCCAATAGTGGGCGGCTGGTGCCCAATCGGTCCCGAATTGACCGTGTCAGTAGCATCCACCGTTCGTCGACTGTTTGAGTGTGTATGTGACAGTGCGTGATTATAGGGAACTACGGCGTCAAAATTGTCACATCTAACTCTAAACCTAAACCTACCCCTAGCCCTAACCGAAACCCTTACCCTACCCCTAACCTTAACCCTACCCCTAACCCTAACCGCAACCCTAACGCTACCCCTAATCCTAACCCTAATCCTACCCCTAACCCTACCCCTAACCACGCAAATTTATCGGTCATTAAAGCATACAGATCGGCAAAACACAAAAAAAAAAAAAACCAGATATCCCCACAGCGTCAAAAAAAAAAACCAGATCTGGGGGACACACCCAAGCATTGGCAGCCCTGATGTCGACCTCACTGTCTTGTTTGATTCGTGACTCTTTCCGCTACTTGTTTTGAGTGCGGCCAAGGAAAAGAACTCCCACTAAGGCGACTGAAGCCGTCCAGCTTGCGTCCAAATCTGCTAGGAGAGCCAGTTTGGCTCTTCTTTTAGGTACTTTAGTCAAATTTTTTAAATTCCCTCAACACCAATAAAACCAGCACAGTTAGATAGCTGTAAACAATCTCTTTCCAACGGTACCTAATTTAGCCTTGTATGTCATTTCTGAGCTGAGATATGTAGGCTTTTGTGGAGATGAGATGTACAAAACAGCTGTTAAAACTTGCGTCCCAGAAACAAGAAGTTTTCTCTGCGCAACCAAACTGCGCACTTTCGTTTTGGCTTTGTTTACATTGGACAAGATGGCAGACAATTTTTTTCAGACACAGCCACATATTAGCGATTGCCTGAAAAATGTCACTGTAAATCTAAAAAGCCACTGATAAGAAAGAAATTTTAGCACTCCTTTGACTTGTTCCCCAAAATGGCGGCATGCCACATGTTGGCCATAAAATATCCGAATGACAGTGTTACCGTATATCTAAAATACGGACTGTCTGCCAAGGGACAAATAATCGCGGCAACACTAGGATTACGTGACAGTCACTATCAACATTGCACACAGTACTAGTAGCAGACGATAAATACCGACCGTTGACAAAAAATTCTGCGACGCCGATACTAGCAGACGATATTAGAGACTGTTGACCAATTTCGAGACATTACAGACGATGAAAGCGATTAGCAATACTGTGTTCTTCCGATTGGAGGATTTAGCAGCGGTAGATGTCAGACTTGTCGGCATGCGCCAAACGCGATTAAACTCATCGCTGAACGTATCTAGGTGCCTGGGACTCACGAGTACAGTAATTGGAGGAAGTTGCAGGAGATGCGGTAGCTGCCACTCGTGAGTCCCAGCCATCTAGTTTAGCTCCCATCCGTGCCGCGCGTAGCGACGCGGGGGATACGCTCGGCGGTGAGGCACACTCGCAGAAGCAGGTCAGCAAGCACAGTATCGCCGAGACCCTGTCAGAGCATTTTTTTTCGTTATCCGGAGCCGGCACATATATTTTTAATAGAACTGACCCGCATTCGGATATTTTTTGATATTTAATGGCAAGAAATTGGCCAATTTAGCTCTCTTTCGAACGCCATCATATTAAAGCCGCCATTTTGGGGAACAAGTCAAAGGAGCGCCGAAATTTTATATACAAATGTAAAATTGGACGGAGAATTCAATTATAACTAGCATTACCAAGACAAGTAATGTTAAAGCCTAAATACTTACCGCTATTTTCAATCAAACTGATGTAACAGAAAAACAGAGGACATCCGGCTGTTAATCGGGTTCCTTCCCGCCGTTTTCAGCTATTTATAGCTGGTGAAAATCACACCAATCGCAAACTTTCATGAGAGATTAGAACCCATCCCGAAACCAGCTGACATTTCCCAAACAAGTTTTGAACGGTTTCCAGGGTAACGGAAATTGCCAAAAAGACTGCAAATTTCTGAACACCGTAGTCCCTAGTGTAGGGTTTGGATTAGGGTTAGGGATAGGGTTAGCGGCGTTAGGGTTAGGGTTAGGGGTAGGGTTAGGGTTAGTTAGGGCTAGGGTAAGGCTTAGGGTTAGGGGTAGGGTTAGGGGTAGGTTTAGATGTGAAACTTTTGACGTAGGAGTTCCAAACAATGGCGACAGTCTGATGCTTGTGGGAGTGGCGCCACTGGAATTCTCCCAAATATGACAGCAATAGCGCGCGGCTGGTGCCCAATCGGTGGCGTATTGTCCGTTTGAGTAGCATCCACAGTCCTTCGATTGTTTGGGTGTGTATGTGACTGTGCGCGATTATTTGGAACTCCTGCGTCAAAATTGTCACATCTAACCCTAACCCTAACCCTACCCCTAACCCTAACCCTACCATGCAAATTTATCGGTCAGTGAGTCATACAGATCTGCAGGAGTCACATCCGTGGCAACTAATACAACGTTTATATATATAAGGATATATTTACTTTAAAAAAAACCCAGATTTCCCTGAAGCGTCAAATAAACACCCAGATCTGGGGGACAGACCAAAGCATTGGCAGCCCTGTTGTCGACCTCACTGTCTTTTTTGATTCGTGACTTTTCCGCTCCGTGTTTGCAATGCAGCCAAGGAAGAGAACTCCTACTAAGCCGATCGGCGGCTTTCCAGCTACCGGCTTGTATTGAAAGAAGAGCCAAAAGTTTTAACTAAACTAAACGGCTCTCCTTTAAATACCGATCGTTAGCTGGATAGCCGACGGTCGCTTAGTGGGAGTTCACTCCCTTGGCTGCATTGCAAATACGGAGCGGACAAGTCGCGAATCAAAACAGACAGTGAGGTCGACATCAGGCCTGCCAATGCTTGAATGTGTCCCCCAGATCTGGGTGTTTATTTGACGCCTTGGGGACATCTGTTTTTTTTTTTTTTTAGTAAATATATATATATATATATATATATATATATATATATATATATATATATATATATATATATATATATATATATATATATATATATATATATATATATATATGCTCTTAGTTGCCATGGATGTGACTCCTGCAGATCTGTATGCCTTAATGACCGATACATTTGCGTGGTTGAGGTTAGGGTTAGATGTGACACTTTTAGTCACTTTTTTTTTTAAGGACAATTCGCCATCAATTGGGCACCAGTCGCGCGCTAGCTATTGCCGTCATATTTAGGAGAATTCCAGTGGCGCCACTCCCACAAGCATCACATTGTCGGCCATTATTTGGAACTCCTACGTCAAAAGTTTCACATCTAACCCTAACGCTAACCCTAACCCAAACCCTACACCCTACGCAACCGTATGATGACTACGCAACCGTATACGCAACCGCATGATGATAGGTAAGTACGTCATTTGTTTCGTTCCCTCTGTACGGTCCGTATTTGCACTGCAACCAAGGGAGTGAACTCCCACTAAGCGACCGTCGGCTTTCCAGCTAACGATCAGTATTTAAAGGAGAGCCAACTAAACTCTTACCCTAACTAAACTATTTATATTTTATTGGTATTAACCTACATACCGTACGTTGAGTGTCCATTAATCACAAGTAAAAGTAAACTGTTTCTGTAAAATAAAGAGTAGCTAGCAGTACTAGTGCTTTTAGAAAGATTTGTCTTTAAATAGGAGTTACAGTTATATTAATCTCTTGTGTTGAGGCCGAAGCATTTGAGAGTGAGAGTGAGCATTTATATAAAATATAGGTGGGTGTCCTACTAAAAAGAAATAAAACTTTTCTCTCACACCTGTGAACAAAATCGCAGCATCACAGGGGGCATTTCATAGCAAAGGAGAACAGAATTTGTTTAAAAGTAAGTAAGTTTTACCCCACCAGGACATCACCAGTTGGTGCCACCAATCGGAGGAGGATCACCTGTCGAGTGGCCCCGGAAACCCTGATGAACCGTTATGTTATATTAGGGCCCCCAGCTCTGTTTAAAAAAAAAAAAAACTTGCTTATAATGGAAAAACATCACATCTAGTATACTACTAGAATGGAGGTGGAAGCTGTAGGGGCAAATTTCTGATGGCTGCAGAGTAGTACAGCCCAACATGTTATTATAACTGACTTGCATAGCATATTTCAGAAAATAGAAACTGGAGTTTTGCACTCAGTGTGGCTTGCGTCACTTGATACAAGATAAGAAGACTATCAGGGAGTCTTTCCCAGACAAACCGGTATCAGAGATAATCAGCAGGCTGACAGATTAGCTGCTACTCCCCGTATGATCAGTGAGCTACTTTATGATAAGGGGACATGGTGAGAGCACTTTGGGATCAAGTAAACAGTGCAGCAGAACAGAGTATCCATATCTGGAGAGAATGATTCCGTTGCGAGTGAGCAGAGGGTCTAGAGATTTTCTACCAGCAGGGGGGAAAACAGGCAAACCTTTAGTCAGGTTACAACTGTCACCATCAGTATGGGAACCTCCCGGTCTGGGTTCCGGGGTCCCTTTGTGGGGAGAACAAGAATAGAAACACTGCCTGCCCAAAGGCATGTCGTAAGAGTTGACTAATTGGAAGCTTCCTTCGAAGTCGGAGTACATCTACCTGAACGGCAAGGAACCAACAGTCGGCATGCAAAATAGTTAGACCTGTGAAATGGATGTGCACGTGACACTCATTTCCTGGAACAGGACTAAAGTCCAGAAGTGGACGAGCAACCAGAACTTTCCGCCGGAGTTTACAGCCGTGAACGCGAAGAAGAAGAATATGGGAACTCTTTTGTGGACTACATAGGAAGGGGAGTGATTGTAGTGATGTCACTTCTTGGTTGATTCATTTTTTTAAAAATGGGGTAGGGAACTGTGTCATGAATTATTTTGGGTTTTGATTATTTGTTTTATGTCCAGTCATGAATGAATCATTACTCTCTGTGTCACAGTGAGTATTTCTGTATCATTTGTTAGTTTATTTTTTACTTCATTTCAGGCAAGAGGCGATGGAATATCCCAAAGTTGTTGTAGCTGATCTAGATACCAGTCTATTTATACCTCGTCAAACAGTAAAAGTTTCAGAGGTAAAATTATGAGCTCTCTGTGTAGAATCTTGTAGGGATTATGATAAGCATGGTTGACATGCATTAATTAATTTAAGCTTTGAACACTCATGGGCGATCATGGCAGTTGTCTCTTTTTGTGATGATAACCAAAAAAAGTGGCTGTTCATTGATTCACAGTTACAAATGGGATTTATATTTTTCCTATCTCCAATTGGTAGTACAGCAATAAGAAAAAAATGATCATATAATTCCTCAGTCTGACAATGTGTATTTTGCTTGAGTGTTTTTTGCTGGACTAATGAAGACACTGCAGGCATGAAAATCTATGACAGAAATGGGCTTTCCAGTAGATTGTGGTGGGTGCAATGTTCTGCAAAGGGCCTGCTGAATGAGTAGGAGATGTCGCCTTACACTATATGTGCTACGTATACCATATAATAAATTACACATTCAGTGTATATTCATAAAATAAATGCCTAAACCCTGATGGCTTGGCCATTTGGATGGAACAGGAGTAGAACTCTGACCTGATCCATTGGGAAATGTGATCACATGACCTATCAGCAGGGCATGTGATGCTGATAAAGGACTTCAAATAGCCCTTTAACATAATTTTTAATCTATTGCTTGTATTTTCTTATAATAGTTAAATATTCATATGTCCCTCCTTGGGCTTCTATATTGAACACCCGAAGATATCCATGTGTTCATCATCTCAGAGATCATCAGATCAAATCATCCCAGACACGCCAGTCTTTCTTTCTTCATCTTTTCTCTAGTCCTTGTTCTGCCTTTTGGTTTCAGGTTTTGAGGAGACACCTGGAGTGAGCCTTGATGTATTCTGCATAGATGTTGGTATTCATGGCCTCTCATATTCTATCTGTTCGTTGCTTACAGGGACAACCTCTAGCTCTGCTTCTGTTTTGTCCGTGTCAGGGCTGTCTGTGGTTCACTGTCTTTTGGTAGTCTTCACACATGTCTGAACCTTTTGATCTGTCTATTGCTGTAGTTTAGCACAGGTTTCATCTCAACCCTGTTTGGACAAACAAATTACTTATTATGTGGAGGTAATCCATTTCCCAAATCCAGAGATTGGCATTGTTTTGTATAGACAAATATGTCAACAGCTACATTGGATGATACTGTTTGATATGGGAAATAAACATTTAAAAAAATGGTTAGAAGTTTTGTGGATAAAAAATTTGCTGATAGCAATTAAAACAGTTTTTAATGTTCTGGCTGCATCCTGTCATATCTTTAAATGTTTGATTTAGTTTTTATCTTTTCTTTTAAATTTATGTCCACTAATTTCATATTGGTTGTTTCTGACACCAGCCTGGAGGCCTGTTGCCTGTGCCTGCAAATTACAAGGCTCCCATGTCATGGCAGAGATTACAAGTGGCAGAATTTGCCAGTCTGCGGCAGGTTAGTTCGCTTCACTGATTTCATCAGTTAAATATATTCATTTTGTTCAATTTAATGGATGCCTTTTCATGCTATTGAGCATTTAGGTATATGTTGCTTGCCCAGTATTTTATCCAGTCAGACCTTAATGGTTGAAATAGCTACTCCCTTTACTTCCTATAAAAAATCCTAGAATTTCTTTAAGGCGGGATAAATCTTGGAGTCAAGATCAGTGATAATAATCCCGATCATACAAAGGATTCAAACACATGACTGTCTGGTTTGCAAGAAAGTATGCTAACCATTATGCGACACCTGCGGTCATCCATTATGTAACATAATGATAAAACTACTGTTTCCCCAAAAATAAAACCTACCTCAAAAATAAACCCTTGCATGATTTTTCAAATTGCTTTAAATGTAAGCCCTACCCCAAAAATAGGCTCTAGTTAAGAGCGTCCGCTAGAACAAGAGACTTCTTGCCGAAACGCCAATCGAGAGTAGAGATTCCACTGGTGAGCAGTTGGTAATGAATGGAAACTATGAAGCCTGGTTTGTAGGAAGTCGTGACTTGGGTGAAGAAGTCATGTAATAAAATCACTGACAGCTGTGTTACTAATACGCTACAACCAGGCTACGTGGGTGGCCAATGCTCTGTAAGGAAAGCTTTATTACTGGACATGAAAGACTGAAGCCAGTTTTTCTACAGGAATTGGCGTTGCAAGAAATTCAGGCCAGAATTTGGGATTTGGAGAGCTAGGACGATGTTTCAGAAGAACTTGACATGGATGTATCTGGATAAATGTAAAATTATGTACATCTTTTGCATCCAGAAAAAAACTGGACATCCCTGAAAGTAAGCCCTAGTACATTTTGTTTAAAGCAAAAGTTAATATAAGATCTGGTCTTATTTTAGGAGAAACATGGTATCTGTTTAACGTTTGATTACTTGTGGGAGTGTCCCAAGTGCTGTGATGTCGATTCTTAATTCAACATTCAACATTTGATTACTTGTCTGTATTTGCCGCATGCATGCCTAACTTTAGATAATTTTAGGCTATAGAACAATGGTCATCATTAAATTAATTGAGAAACAGAGACTGAAGTGGTTCAGACACCTAGTGAGAAAGAACTCAATGATTCTGGCAGCGAGAGCATTCAACAGAAGGCGGCAGGAAACTTACAAGATGATAAATTGAAGAAGTGACAGGTGAGGATCTTACAACGTCACACCATACCGAGCAACCAAACCCTGGCTCAGTTACCTGTCTTTATTTAAACTGCTGTGTCTATTAGCACAAAGCAAATATTGACACAAGAAAGAAGAAGAAAGAATAGTTGTACTAGCTTTTTGTAATTATAATGAAGAATTAAAGTATCCTGTATGCTTGTACTGTTGTAAGTAGATTTTGAAACATTGTATGTCAGAATTATAAAACTGCATTAATAATCCGTAAGCACAGACTTGTTAGTGACGATGTTATTTCCTATCTGTAGCTTTCACTTAAATCACATTTGTCAAAGTGCAATATCTCTTGTTGCCTGATAGTTTGTCATTCTGTACAACTGCTGGATGTAGTCAATTAAGACAAAACACATTTTTTAGGTTATATGTTGATAACACAGAGACACTATACCTGGAATAAAAATGTCCATGATGTAGCTGACTCACAAAGCGTGTTGAGAAAGGTGGAGACAGACTTGCTGTGTGCAGAGTGGCAAGCATCCTTTAGAGGTCCCTGGTAGTTAGCATCCTTTGGATATTTTCTCCAGGTCAGGCCGGTGTGTTGGGATATGAGCAGGCAGATAGACTAGCCAGTTCCTCACAACTTGGTGGTGAATTGATATATGACAAGCTAGATGTTTTGAGGGCCCTTTAGGAGCGAGCGAACAGTGAGGAGGCACAAGCAAATCATTACGGTCTGAGGAGAATGGCTCTGCGGGGAGTTACCAGGGGATCCCGGCTGACGCTCAACACTCAAGGGAAATGCGACAGATATACAGTCAGAAAGTTACTGGTACCATGGGATTTGGAAATCTTAGCTTGCTGCTGAACATGGGGATGGAGCCTGGCTTATGGGGGTGGCCCAATTGCTGTGATGTCAATTCCTAATTCAACATTCAAGAAAAACTGCACAAACTTCTTAACACAGGTAACAGCTCTTCTTTCAGTTGTGCTTCTCAGTAAAGAGAAACAAGACAAACAAACAAATTACCATATTTACAATTACAAGTTAAAAGAAATTTTTTTTCTTTTTAAATAATAACCACACTTAACTACTATTTTTGACACACATCTTCTTTTGATCTTCTTATAGTACATGCACTGGTGTTGGTAGTCATGTCTATCCACAACCTTCTGTCTCTGTACTTTCAGTCAGTTCTGACATAGATTCTTCCATCCCATGATGTCAAACTATCCAGCATCTTCTCTCTTGGTCTCCTTCTGGCCCCCCCCCCCCTCCCCCCAACTCCAGCTTCCCTACTTCTCATGTCATGACCATAGAATGTAGACTGTGTCCTCTTGATGTTGGCCTATCTCATGATCTAATCAGAGGTAAAGGAGGAAGTGAAACTGCAGAAAACAAGAGATTAGTACAGTAGTTGCCACGTGTGTTACGAGGATTTTTAAATTACATGCGTACATTTTCACTGTACAGTGTGTACATGTTGATCTTTATTTAAATCAAACAGAAACTGATCCAGTTCAGAGCTTTAGTCAAACTCAAGAAGATTGCAGTGCCAGCACCAAAGCTGGTGAGTTTTGTGCTTGTTTAACAACTCCTGTTTTTGGTTGTCATTTTGTATTAGAAGTTCATCAGTGCTTTTCATCATCCTCAAATGTCAGAGACTGAGGTCCCTCCCCCACCCCCAATAAGAGGGGGGGGGGGGGGGTGAGTGGTCTCGAAGCATGACCTCTGCTTTGAGTGCTGGAGGTCCTGGGTTTAAGCCCCGATGAAGGCTGGGAATATTGCAGTGGCCTTCTAGTAATTTCTCTTGGTCTCTGCGTAGTAAGATTGGACACCCATGTGTTTTGTTATGCATGCAAAAAATCTCTTGGCAGTTGGAAATCAGAAAGAGTAGCCTAACCGCGCTGCCGGGGCAAAATTGTTAGTTAAAAATCTGCCCAAAGTATTTTAGGATCCTCGCTGGTGCTATGGAGTTCATGCACTGCGCTGAGATTCTTTGGACTCAGACATGAGTTAGAAGTAGAACAGAGCACTTCCCTTGTGCAGTAATGTCGATCTGTTGTATAAACTAAACTAATTTATAAGGGAGCTGAGCCTCCACAACCTAGAAACTGTGCAAGGGGGCTTAGTGACTCTCCTTATCGTGAATACACATTCTCTATTTAAGTAATTGTTTATACCAGTGTTTCCCAAACTTTTCTTAGTCGCTGCGCCTTTTTTCAATTAAAATTGTTTCCACGGCGCCCAATCCTAAGTAAAAGTATGACTATTCACAGCTCGCCTGTAAAGAGGTTGCGGCTCCCCGGTGCGCTGCGGTGCACAGTTTGGGAGTCACTGGTTTATACAATTCATATTTTTGCAAATATATTGTTCTGTTTATTTGTTTTCAGAATATAATAATAGTTATAATTATTGTTGCACATTTAAACAAGAATTAAGCCCTTTGATCCACACCCGATAGAAAATTATAAGGAATCTGGGCACCCCCACCTGCCCACCCTGAAGATTGTTTGGTGACAGCGTACATTCCACTGTGAGAAAACTAGCAATGCGCTTTGTACACGACGGGCAATAGATCTGAGTTCTGTTAATAACAACATTCCTAAATCAATTAGAAGCAATATTACCTACCTGACCCAGTCTCAGCCAGTGCCTACATTCTGTGCTGAATCGTGAACGGTTACAGTCCTTAGCAGTTCAGCTCCAGGCAGTTGTTATTAGAACCATATCTATGTCGAGAAGTTGAGCCTGACCCTTTTGCCCCACTGAGCTAGAAGCAAACAATGCTTAAGACCTGTATTTTTGGGAATTTCAGGTCTTCCAGAAAAAAAGTTTTCTTTCAAAAAAAAACATCTTTACACAGGTCACATAAAAAAGATAAGTTTCATTTATAAACTAAAACAGTATGTAATTGCATACATAACAGGAGTAATCATTGTACACAAAGAGGACACATACATATATGTGGATGTGTGCGCGCGCATGCATTTATGTGTGGGTGTGTGCTTTTTAGATGTGTCTGTATGATTGTATGTATTTTCTGAAACATCATTATTGTGCATGCGCTCAGCATTTGTGTTTATTGCTAAATGAGGGTATTATACACAGTTTCTGTGTGAAAAGTGAGTTGTGAGGTATCAGTCTAACACAAGACCATCTAGCCCAGTTTGTTACCCATTGAAAATTTAAAAAAAATTTTTTTGTTTTTTTGTTAATTAAATTACATTACTTTTTTTTTTTTTTTTAATTTACTAATAATAGCTGAAATCTGATTTGACTGTTCTCCTGAAACTACAGCCACATGCTACACATGCTCAAGGCTGGTGTAAGCTCTGTTTTGGCAGACTGAAGCCAAAGTCTGAACTATTGAATACATCCTCTGAGGCAGCTGGGGAACGGCCCCTCCTAGAAAGTTCTGAAAGTGAAGGGACACCACCCTTGTTACACATTGTGGCACACATGGATCAGGTTTGTTTGCTGTTGTGTGTTTCTGTGTATGCCAGAAATATTATAAAACCCACAGCTGGAACACAAGAGCACAGGAGAAAAAGATCACGACGTGCGAAATGAGATGCTTACGTAAGGCTGCCAATGTCACAAGGAGAGACAGAGTTCGAAACGAGAACATTAGAGCAATTGTAGGAACCACACCATGCCTGCAATACATAAAGAAGCAACAAATAGAGTGGTTTGGCCACTTGATGCGAATGCAAACCGACCAACTGCCTCTACGAGCATACAACGAACAGCACTACTGCCCTAGAGCAAGAGGCAGACCGAGAGTACGATGGATAGACAATATATCAGAGATCCTGAGGCAACACGGACTAACAACAACACATGCAACACACCTGGCCCAGGATAGAAAACTGCGACTCCCCACTACGCTGTGAGGCAATTGTGGACAAGAAAAGACAAGACAGCTGGAAAGTATGGAGCTGCACTCTGGGTTTTGGGACCCTATTGTAAGGTTCGGAGGGAGGGGGGTGTGAAAGAATAGACCCACTGCTCCCTAACAAGCATGTTGTGAAAGGTTAATTTAGGGGTATTTACTTTGGACATCTGCCTGGGAGGCAAGGAACCAACAGTCTGCATAGAAATTAGCCAGATCTGTAAAACAAATGTGCATGCAAAACTCAAGATCTGGAACAGGACCAAAGTCCAGAAGTGGATGGACAACCAGCACTTTCTGCCAGAGTTTACAGCTGGTGAAAGCAAAGAATAAGAAGCAGGACCACACTAGTTCTGACCTACTGGCCTGATGGTATTGGATTCAGATCTGCTATTGGTGGATGTGTAGAGTTGACCTGGAGTCACTTTGGCCTCATATGAATTGATCCAGCCTAAAATGGGTAACAGGTAATGTGTAGCACAGCTCTCTTTTTTGTTTTGTTTTTTGCTATAGGAGTCAGTTGAAGGATTATCGACGAGGAGACAGATGGGGGTGTCGATATGATGTTGATGATGTCTTGCTAGTTGCATGCTTCTCACCATACTCTGATGCTTGTATAACAAAATATCTTGAAACAATTCTTCCTTTTTATATACCGACTTTATTGTCATCTGTAAATGTGATAAATAAAATTAATGGTATTTTGAATGGCAGCTGATTTCGCTCTGTGGTTATATTCTCTTGATGTCGCGTTGTGGTCTTCCTCTCCGTTTACTTGTGAACTGATTCTATTCATTATGACTGCCACCAGGCTTCTAGTGATGCTTGGTACTAATATTTGGTCATCGACTCTAACATCTTAGTAATGTTTCACAAAATGGGTCTTTGTTGACCATGGATCCATATATCTTGTCTGTTGTCTCTGTGGGTTGACATCTCTTTTCATGTCTCCTCTCTAGTGTCTGTTTTTGAGGCTCAATGTGGCTGGTTCCTCTCCTTCTAGTGTTGTGCTGGCATCTCCACAACTGAAGCTTCTCATCTGCAAGTGTCCGTATGACTAGTCCCTGTTTCTCTTGAGTCTCAGCGACTGAAGGTTTCTCAAGTGACTTCCTACCGATAATTTATATCTGGTTTAGGAATGCAAAATACGAAGGTAAGTCAATAAGTAAGTCACAAATGGTTGTTAAAAAATAACTAAAGAAAATAAAAACTTGAAAACCATTAATTTTTACACATACACTGTCCCTTTATTTTTCAACATAATTTCCACCACCATTGATGCACTTGTCCCATCGTTTTATCATTCCTCTAAAACCTGCTGCATAGAACTGCATGCTGTGTTTTCTAAACCATGTTTTCACTTCACATTCAACTTCTAAGACATTCGTAAAGTGTCTCCCACCAGGGTGGGTTTCAGTGGACCAAAAACCAAGTGAGCACCCTATTGCAGCTGCTACAGAGTCAATCGTTACTCACCTGTCACCTCTAATCATCTCTCCACCCGCTGCAAAAAAGTATCTGTTGCAATCTCAATGCGTCTGTTGCAGTCTCAACAGGACAATGAAATCGGATTTCAGCAATCGAAGAGCGTCCGTGAGAAAAATTTGTCACCCAGCTATGCACCGCTTTACAGGATAGCATTTGTCAGCATAAACAGGAATGTGGCTTGCAGGCAGCCTTTTTGGACACCCCCCTCCCCCCCCCCCCCCCCCCCAAACAAAACCAGCATGACAGCACGTTGTTCTTTGAGGGTACACTCCTTAAGTACAGTCACCACATTTTGTTTTGTGTGTTGCGCTCCACCTAATGAGGGGAGACATACAGTTCAGTGTTATTGTCACCTAGTGATACTTTTAGAAACCATCAACTACATTTTCCTGCCATCCAATAACCACTTGTGACTTACTCATTGACTTCCCCTCATATGTTGTTTTCTACTCACTTACCGCTCCTAGAAGATTCTAGTATGCTCAGACTTGTTTGCTATCTATGTCCTCACTGTTGGATTTTCTAATTGCGTCTCAATTGCATCATCTCATGTTTCTCATGGGAACCGCTATGAAATCTCTTGGCCGATGAGATGTGCTGACTTTTGCTAGGAGTATTTTAAAAAACAAAAAACTTTTCATTCATTAATTCATTGTCCTGTTAGGTCATTGTGCGTCACATGGGGTTCTCAGTCTTTTTCTCCACTGTTCTATCCTGTTCAGTCCTTTGATATCATTGATGGAATTCATTTGAGTGGCTTTTGCTTCTCTCACCAGTGTTCACCTTAGGGTTTATCTTTGAGGTCCTTATTTCCTCAGTGGTCATTCTGTTCATCTCTTCTCAGAATGTGTCCAGTATAGCACCATCTTCTCCTGTCTTAGAAATGTTGATACTAATAATTGCTCAGACATTTCTCTTATTTCTTCACTCTTGAATTCTTCCTAGTTTGTGTTCATTTTCTTCAGGCATTTTTTAATTTTTTTTTTGTATTCAACTGAAAAACAGCAAGCAAGTGAACAAAGAAAAAGAAATGACCATATTTTGACCTGTGATTTTTTAGAAATGTGACAGAGAAAGTCACAAGTCACAAAGACTTGTAAAATGTATCTTACGCTTCAGCTATCACTGCATGCAGAAACAACACATTTATTAGATCTTGCTAGCCACACCCATTTACTGATGTCATCAGCCAGCGTATTCCCCCCCCCCCCCCCCCCCCCCCCCCCCCCCCCCGCCCGGTGGGTTCCGGGGCCTCATTGTGCTGGAAAACAAGAATAGACCCACTGACTCCCCAACAAGCATATCGTCAAGTAATTGGGAGCTTCCCGTGAAGTCAGTGTGCATCTGCCTGAGCAACAAAGAACAACCAGTTGCACACAAATAAGCCAGTAAAATGGATGTACGTGCAAAACTCTGGCCCTGGCACAAAGCCAAAGTCCAAATGGATGAACAGCTAGGATCTTACACTAGAGCTTACAGCAGGTGAACAAAGAAGAAGAAGAAGATAAATGTATGAAGTTGTAGACCTACATGTCTGTTACATCCTGGCATTGTGAGATTGCCCATTTTCCTTCCTTGCAGTCTTTTCTTATTGTTATTATGCTGCCAGTTGTGCACTGATGAAACTAGGCTTCATTTTTGTATAGACCAGTCGGCCCTCAGTGGGGATGTGGTCAGCACCACTCCAGCCACCTTTACTTCTTAGAACATGACCTGGTACCTGTTTTAGGCTGGGTCAATTTTGTAGGCATTTTTCAGCAAAGTCGGTTTTGAAGAACAAATCTGACTTGATGCAGATGTGATCCTACGACCTTTGGCCTGAAAGGTAAGTGTCTGGCAACTATCCTATCATGGTTCTGAGAGTTGCATACAATTGAAAATAATCCCCCCCCCCCCTCCAAAAAAAAAACAGTGGACTACAAGTATAAAAAAGAAGGAATAGAACATGAGCAAAACTTGTTACACAATGCATGTACAAAACATACAGTATAATGCAAGTACAGTTTATCTCCTGTTGCAGTTTATTTACTCAGAAACATATTAAGATTTATTACTAGAATATAAATGACAATCTCTATCTATTTGGATGATTTGATCATTTCATGTATATTTTAACACATTGATGTGATGTTCTTTCAGCAACTGGTAACCTGTGTGCTGGAATACCACATCAACTGGCTCGAGGCAACAGGTTTCACATCCAGGCAGGTGAGATGGTATTAATGTCACAGTTTCATTTACTGTATTTCCCTAAATAAAAGACTATCCCATATATAAGACAAAAGGCACCTTGATTTTGGAACCGGAATTTTTGAAGGAAACAAAATTTATATAATCTACTTCCATTGTATAAGATGCACACTGTTTTTAGACCCTATGTTTTGAAAAAGTAAGTTTTGTCATACTTGGGGAAATACGTTAATTTGATTTTGAATCAAAGAGTTTTTTGTGGAGGAAATCAAGGCAGCAGAGATAAGATGTCTTAGAAGAGCTGCCAATGTAGCAAGAAGAGATGAAATTAAAAATGAAGATGTCTTTATCTAAGCAGGCTAGCATCTTTTTATGTCTGTCTTTGTCTACATATATTTATGTGTCTGTCTTTGTTTAAGCAGGCAAGGATATATTATAATGTCTGCCTTTCTCTTAGCAGACAAGGATATATTTATATGTCTGTCATTATCTTAGCAGGCAAGCATATATTTATATGTTTGTCTTTATTTTAACAGGCAACAAAATATTGTATGTGTCTGTCTTTGTCTTAGCAGCCAAGGATATATTTATATGTCTGTCTGTGTCTTAGTAGGCAAGGATATATTTATATGTCTGTCTTTGTCAGCAGGCAAGGATATATCTATATGACTGACTGTCTTTGTCTTAGCAGGCAAGGATATATTTATATGTCTGTCTTTGTCTTAGCAGGCAAGCATATATTTATGTGTATGTCATTAGTGCTTGTATTTAGTGCTCTTTCATTGTGACCTAGGACAGGGAAAAAGCAGCTGAAAAATGCAGTATTCCTACCAATTTTATGCTATCAGTGTCAGATATGGACAGTCCTAGAAAATATGAATGCAGAAATACAACATGTGAGATGTTTTTGGGTTTAAAAGGTTTAAACAACGGATCAACATCATGGCACCAATTTTGCCCAAGCAGCGCTGTTAGGCTACTATTTTCGATCTCCAACTGCCAAGGGATTTTTTACGTGCGCAACAATGCACACGGGCGTCTGATCTTACTACCCAGAGACCAGGGAAAATTACTAGAAGTCCGTGTGAAAAAAATCCCGTCCTGAACCCAGGACCTCCAGCACTTGGAGCAAACGCTATACCTCGAGACCACGCACCCTTCCTTTCCCCCCCCCCCCCCCCCTGCTCCCATGTGAGATGTATAAGACATGTGAAGGGAAAAAAATAAAAGAAATAGTCACCACTGAAGAACTAAGGACAGTAGTAGGTATGATGGAAGTAACATAGAGCATCAAAAATAAAATGGTTATGTCATCTGGTCACAGTGAAACAAAATCAGCCAACAGATAGTGTACAACTTGAGAATAGGCTACAAGGTAAGAGGCTGACCAAGAATGAGAAGGGTGGAGGGAGTAAAAGAAACACTACAGAAATGCAATATAACACACAAGCTAGGCAACCAACACAGGACAGGAAACTACATCTAACTCCTCGCTGTGATCCTTTACTGCATAAGCAATCGAACAAAATAGAGAGAGAGAGAGAGTAGGACGGGGGAGGGGGAGGTAAGTTTAATGATTTAAGCGCCCATATGTTAGTACAGTCAGAATGTATTTTTTAAAAATTTTCCCAGTGACTGAAAATATATCTTTTACTGCGGATCCTGGGTCTCCTGCGTGAGAAACCCAGTGCTCTGACCGCTATGTGTAATTGTGTATTTTTTCAGGGTCAGTGGTTTTATGCCTTGCTAGCCAGTCTACAGAAGCCTCTCACCCCTGAGGTCTGTTCATGGATTCGACGACTGGCTCGCTTGTGTTCAAACATTCGTGCTTCACTGGTAAGCTTCATATTCTATGAATATTTATTTTGTTTCAAGTTATTATGTTGCTGTTGCACAACAGCTAGCATATTGAATAATTTACTGTTGCTCATTAAAGGTCATATAAATGCTGCTAGTCTGCAGTATTAGAAAACAGCATGGGTGAGGTGGGAAATGTCAAAAAAGTGGTAAGGTGAGGTCTCATAGACCCACTACATTGATGTAATATCATTTCTAATCAGTATTAGATGACTTATTGTGTAGGTGACCTTGAGTACAGAATAACTTTATCATTTACAGAATTAAAATATAGACTGTCAAAATTAAGTTGTCTTCTTCTTCTTCTTATTCTTTGGGCATCAAGAAGATGTAAAGTTCTTCTTCATGCTTTTATGGCAGACTTGACTGTAGACAATTCATACTCTTGTAGAGTTTATCTGATGTTATCCTTCCATTCTGCTCTTGGTCTACCTCATGATCTTCATCCCTCTCCTGTTTTGAATATAGTTTTTCATTACCACAAAATACTGAACTGGTTAAACATCTTTATTTAACACAAATACTCTTCTTAGTTTTTGTTATGAACAGACTGAATATAAATATGTTTAAGTACTTTGGCATTAATTTACATACTGAACATAAACATGAGAAGCTAATACAATAATAAATATTTAGCCTTGAGATTCCAATAGTATCACTAACTAAAAATTGTCATTTTTTGTAATTGCATAGCCAAGTAACCGTGGACTTGTCTGACTGAGACACACATGTCTGCACACTTAATCTGCTTGCACACAACAGCTTGTCTTATCATCTGTGGCATTGACTAGTGGTTACAGGAGGGGAAGCTATACTGAGGCATGACTTACTGCCACAGATTGTTAAAAAAGATATAGTCATTTTAAAATAGTTGGGATCTCTGATACAGGCTAAGAATTTCAACATGCACTGAAAAAAAGCAGCTGATAAATGTTGTATTCTTACCATCTTTTTGCTGCCAGTGCCAGACATAAACAGTTTTAGAAAATTATAAATGCAAAATTACAACAAATGAGATGTATAAGAAATATGGCAGTAAAAAACCAAACAAGAAGAGACAGTCAGCAGTGAAGAACTAAAAACAATAGTAGACTCAGTACCGATGAATGATTTAATAAAACATCAAAGAATCAAATGGTTTGGTCATCTGGTCACAATGGAACAAAATTAACCATCAGCTAGAGCTTACTGCATGAGACCAGCACCACAAGGCAAGAGGCCAACCAAGAAAGAAATGGGGGGAGAGAGTAAAAGAGACACTAAAGAAATGCAGTATGACATTAACACAAGCTGCGCAACTAGAAAAAGACAGGACACTACATATAACTTCTCTCTCTGCGGCACTTTGCGGCATGATCAGGAAGACAAAAGAAGAAGAAGATACCCTACATGAGTAATGCTGTATTAATCATTGTTTCCATGGGTCATTATTGAGCACTCATGTCGTGCTACAGGTTGCAGACAGATTAATAGCCGAGCTCCCAGTGTTGGTTCCAGGGCCCCATTGTGGGGAAAACAAGAATAGACCCACTGTCTCCCCAACAAGCATGTCAAAAGAGTCGACTAACTGGGGGGGGGGGGGGGGGGGGGGGGTTTCAAGTCGGAGTGCATAAGCCTGAGAGGCAAGGAACCAACAGTCTGCATACAAAGTCAGATCTGTAAAAGGATGTGCACACAACACTCAGGTTCTGGAACCAGTCTAAAGTCCAGAGGTGGAGGAACAGCCAGAGTTTACAGCCAGTAAACATGAAAAAGAAGGAAAAGAATAGCTGAGTGTCTGATAAGAAACAGGTTAAAAGTTAAATGTATGTGATGGCAACAGTTTTCCTGAGATCTTGTAGAAGATTCTTCTCAACGTAAGCTCATCTTGCAAGTCACACTTGTCTTTGCCATGGGCTGGGATTGCCATGCCTCCCTGTAGCCCAGTGAAACATTGTCATCTGGAAAGATGGAAAGTTGCCTGATTTAGGCTGTGTCAACCTCTGAGCCCTAGGGCAGTTATTATGCCTCACTCTGTCATTGAACCCAAGACCTTCAGACTAGAAAGCAAGCATGCACTAAACACTAATGCAGCATGGCTCCTTTAACAGTGTCATAACTGATGATGATTAACTCAGTTATGTTAGAGCATGTAACTAATAAATCTTATCTCTCATACAGGAGAGCTCCAGTGATCCACGCCTGAATGAGTTGAATTTGATCATCTGCCTGGTTTCACGTTACTTCGATCAGAGGGACCTGGCTGATTCCTGGAACAGTTAACTGCTGGATTATGACTGTATATTGTTTTTTGTTTTCGAATGTCAACAAAGCGATAAGTGAAAAGTCAGTTACTAAGGTAAAGGCTTTAAGGGTGACTAGTGACATAAGGCATCCCCTACATAGAAACATAACGGAGAACAAGAAAGACGCAGTCGAGAAATAATGCTCCAACCATGCATATCATATTGCCTAACATTCTAAGCAGCAGCAGATGTATGCCACACTGGCTAAATATTGTAATTTTATAGTGGATTTCTTGCATCAAATTCTCTGTATTTAAGGCAGCTCTGGCTTAGAGGTTAAGTCCTTACAGTCTGTTTTTGACCTGCCAGAAGTTAGATTTCTGCAGCTAGCTTTTTTTTTTTTTTTAAATAGAAAAAGACCTTTCTTGTGGTTTTGAGACAGTGGTTCAAAAGTTGTTCTTTGGATAATACTGGAACCTCACCATGCGATATTCCTAAAGACAGCAAGCTGTAGGTGCAGTGTAGATAACCTCCACTGTGGAGATGAAACAAAATGTTTGCCTTGGCTGTCAGCTAGTTCATGGAAATATTTATCTTTTTTCCTGGTCCACCAGTGTAGAAAGATTGAAGAACACTTGATATGTGATTTGATTTAATTGCACTTAATCGGTGATGTGGTCACCATCATGCTAGCCACCTTTCCTTCCCAGGACATTTCATGGTACCCATTGCTTAGGTGACATAGGAACCAAAATTCAGTTATAATAAAATCTAACTTGATGCAGACTCAACCCCATGACCTTTGTGCAGCAGACTTGATATTGTCTGTTAATGATTGTTAAATAAGAAAATGCATTGGTGACTATATAGTCTACTACTGATAGAATGAGGGATTTAATTTGGCTTTAGCAAGAAGAATCCTGGTAGATGATGTTGCAAAGGAATATCTAACCAACTGGTCACTGGAGCTATGAGTATCCATATTTTTTTTACAGCTTCTGGGAGAGATGGAGCACTTATGGGCAGGTCTTGAGTGCTGTGACATCTGTGTTGGGTGACATATTCTGAGAAATATTTTTATTTCCCCACACTTTGCAACTATAACTGTTATCATTTATAATAGCAATATTTTAACCACTAGTCGCTGCTTAAGTCCATCACATCTTAACTCTTCGAGTCCCAGGGGGTTTAGCATCAGATTCCCAAGGGGTGGTAATGATATTTTTTATTTTTATAGGGGTAACATATTAAAACTTACTATAGGAATTCAACTGCCATGCAACGTACACATATTATACATCAGAGTGACCAGGGATTGTGGGTGAATAATAATAGAATGTATTTACAACAAATAATTGCGTAAGTAATTAAATATTAGTAAATAAATAAACGGTACATTTACATAAATTAGTAAAATAATAATGTTTCCACTTACCACCATGGCGCTCAAGGAAAACTCGTTAAAATATATCCAGAATGGATCAAAAATGAACATGAACCACTTAGTAATGTATAAGTAAAATATAAAATCATCTCTCTGTGCATTAGATCTTTTCCTGAGAATCATTTGAAGCATCATAACAGAGCACCATTATTTGGTAAAGAGAACTGATTTCCCAAAACAATTAGTATCTTCACACAAAACAAAATTTATATAACACTCAGTTCACCTGTAATTTTGTCGCTACTTTTGTAAATAATAAGGAGAGTAGCACTATAACTGACCCTGAAGAAAATCCTCTTTTTACTAATGCTATATTTGTGCCAGCGGACATTGCCATCATTGTACCCTTTGCCTGAGGTACACATTAGAGCTATCATTCATTGTAGTTTGACTTTATAGGTGACTGAGACAACGTCTGCTCCGCAATATCTATCTAACTTCGGATAAATCTAAAAAACACATTTTATTTAAATTTGAGGCTTTATTTAATTTTGAGTCTTCTGAAGCTGTAAATCATGATGGCATGCATGTAAAATACTGCTCGGCGGCCATATTATTTTCAAACACGCACTTAGTAACTTGGTAAACCTGGCATATATACTATATTTTAGGTTTTTAACGTTTCCAAATGAATTTGATCAGCACGCCACCTGATATCAAACGCAAAGAACTGAAAAGGACGTTGAAACTGAGCGGTCTGCATTTTATTACTGGTCAGTGGTCAATTAAAGACTTTCAATTGTCATGCGCCGATTGGGCCGCATGTTATAACCAGTAAGTGTGTGATGAGTTCCTTGGGGACTCAAAGAGTTTAGTTTCATCTTGTTTGTCTGGGTTGTTTCCTCTGTTAAAAAATGCTGCTATGTTGAAAATGAATGAAAGTAAATTTCCTTTGCGCACACCAAAGGCAGCAGTTGATTAATTCATTGATCTCTTTAGTATGAGTTATGTGCTGGATTTCAGTGAATATATTTGTTGATCTTTTTTTTTTGTGTGTGTGTGATTTATTCTGTGTGATTTGTTCTCTGTAGTTTAGTCGATATATTGATTGATCTATTTATTTTTTATTTGTTTACCTCTTCAGTGTAATTTGTTCACTGTGTTTGTGGCTGTTTGGGATCCATAAGTTGCAGAGTTATCTACTCACAGCAATCCATTGCTATTCTTGTGAAAGTATAAGCCTTCTGGTATCCTTAGAGCAGAGGTTTACAACCTCTTCCAAGTCGAGATCCCATTTTATAGAGGCAAAGTGAGCGTCGACCCCCAGCATTAAAAATACAATTTTTTAATAAAGCAAATGAGAACACATTGAAAATAGATTTTTCAGTTTACTGCAATTCAAAATATTTTAAAATTATGACATATTTAATGTGATGACTGGATTTATAAAATAATTAACAAGCTTACAGATTTGCGGTTGAGTTTTCGTTAATGCTAATCCTACGTTATTCTGAACAGTAAATCAAGAAGCGCTAAAAAATCTTGAAATAAGACAATCGGCTGGGTGTCAGGTTCTTGACAGGGGGGTCATTCAACTGGTGGTGACATTCACTCATAGTCTGATCATTCAATAATGAGACTGATAATGAGACCGATTTTGGAATGGCCAAAAAAAAAAAAAAATGCTATCTGTGAAACAAAGCATGTCATCCAAACAGATACCATTCATCTGTTATCTGGCAAAATTGTAACACCGCTAGGTCAGCATACAAATAACCTGCCATCTTTTTTAGCTAGTGAACATTGCTCTGTTACATATGCAGCATAAAGCTAAGGTGTGAACATTAATCCTGTCTTTCAGACTTGGAAAAGTGGAACAGCTGCATTTGTTAGATAAGTTTGTGAGGATCAATGTTTATCTCATGTATGAAGTGGTGTTCACAATTCAGAACTAGTGTGGAAAATACTGAAGATGAAGCTGGGCCAGGACATTTTGTTTAAAAAAGTCAGAGAATGGATACATGAAGACTAGTGTCTGTAGGGGGTGAAGACAGGTGACTGTAATTTGGAATTTGAAAAACATTGATTCTCATAAACTCATCTCATTACCCCACACAAAAAACCATCCATATGCTGGGAACCTGTGCCTAAGGGTAACCCTTGGAGACAGCAGTTTGTCCCTCATGTTTTAATGTACAAATACTTGAAAACAAAGACGATGGTGGTTTCAAAAGTGAGAAAAGCTGTACAGAAAAACATATTGGGCTTGGTTTAGCAGTCTTTGTTTGAAACTCTGTGACTGAAACCAGAAAACAGTAAAAGTTAAAAAAGAATTATGACTTTGAAATCTCTTTTCATACGTTTACCAAAAACCTCAGGGTACAGGGGTCTGTGGGGAACAGGTATGTAACAAAAAGAATAATGTGTATTATAATGAGAAGAAGAAGGTGCCAAATTAAACCAGACATTTGGAGAGGAGAAATACAGTTTCGTTAAATGTGCTGGACAATAGCAGCTTGGCAGATTAACTACTGGCCACCGTTCCTCATCTGGGAGTCGAACTAGTCACACAAACACCATATTCATCTTGAAAACACAGAAAGAATGATCGAAATAATAGAGATCTTTATTTGTACTTAGTTTATTACATTAAAACATTTGATAAAGTGAAAAAGGAAGCAATTATTAGAATTTTTGAAAACTTAAATATTGACGGTGAAGATCTGAAATTAAACTTTAAAAAATAAAACATATGCTGGCAACAAGAAGCAGCCATGAGAATTGACAGCCAAGTTGGAACATTTCAAAACATTAAACGACTTGTTAGACAGAGATGTGAACTAACAAATTTATTCAACATATAGTGAAATAATAATGAGATCCATATATGGTATGTCAGGAATATCGGCTAGTGGACATATTGTAAACCACTTGCAGTATATGTAGTTGTGATCGCTGAAAATGAAACAACTGCTAGAAATGATGGACATAATTGTAAGAGAAAGTCAAACACAGGGGTGTTAGTTTGAACAGCAGAAAAACAGAAGTAATCTTAGTTACAGAGTGCAGCAACAAAGTAAATGGGACAATCCTCAGTTATGTTGATACATTTTTCTTCTATGTATCCAGACACAGTAACAGCAGATGGAAGATGTATTTAAAAAGTTTAATATAGAATAACTAAAACAAAAGCAGCATATCACAAAATGAAGAATACTCTATGCAATCTTTCTTTGTCAATTGAGATTAGAAAGAATTCTCAAGAGCTATATAAATCTTATCCTGATATGCGGAACTGTGGACAGTTGGCCGATTAGTGAAAATTAACGAGGAAGCGGCAGAGATGTGGTCTAATAGAGAATGGTAATACACTGAACAGATAAAAAGAGTTTTAAAAAAAGATGTCTTGAAAGTGATTGACACATAAGGAGAACTGACTGCTCAAGGCAGAAAGAGGCAATCTAATTTCTTTGGTCCTGTCATGAGACGGAGAAAACTGGAGTACGTCAGAACGGTGGGAAATTAGACAGAAAGAGCGCAAATCATAACCTAGACACTTGACTATAAATTCATATGCTGCCGCCCATATTCAGCATAAAACAGGTTATGAAAAGGCAGATGTGAAGACGGCTGTCTGAGGTGTCATGGATGAA